CACCTTGGTCTTCAAGGTGCCTTCAGCCTGAGTACCTACGATCTCATCTCTCAGAGCCACTCCTTTAAAGAGAAAGTGCAGATACGTCGGCATGTAGGGCGCAGTCGATTGGCTGACTCCTACTTCAGACGGAAAAGGTTTTGGTCCCAAAGTGTACATTGTTCCTGCCAGACCTGACAGTCAGCTTGAAGGGGGTCATCGGGGCTGAAGACATATTGGCGTATAATTGAGCCAGGGTAAGTAGACTGACTGGCTGTGCTTTGTGTTAAAAGCAACTTTATCGTCCAAAATCATAACGAGTCGAGCCCAGGCTTGTTAGTGAATGCACATGTAATGCACAGTTCAATGGAAAATGCATACACTTTCACATTCGCTAAGTGGCTACGCGCCACAAGACCTTTTCGTCTCGTCTCTTGCGAAGAAACATAAGGGAAAAATATATGCATCGTAGACAGCATAATTGTTCGTTGGTTGGCCGGATAGATTGCTATTTATCTGAAAAGTTAAATGATAGACAAGTTTTGCAGGCCTATACGCAGAAGGGTCCTCAGGCAGCACGTGCCCGGACTTCAAGTGTTCACAAATGGGCTTTCCTTTATTCCTCTCGAGAACGCAACAAATTGGCTGCAGCTAGTCTTCTTTGCTCTAACTAAGAGCCCCAAGACTACGCCAGATAAGGGCGCGCGTAAAGCACTGGCAAGTCAAAATCTTGTAGTGGCTGTGTGTCTAGCTGCGCTCAGTGTTGATGTTGCTTGTTTGTCCTTGGGCATGTATTGGGAATAGCATGTGAGCATGCAGTAGAACTTTTGAAAGAAAGTGCGGATTGAGTTCATCACTGAGGATATTTGAGGGTGGAGACGTCAAGGCTACAAATCTGGCACCGTTATCTTGGCGAGCTGAGGAAATGGAGGGAGGAGATAGTCAGGTTCCTTCTCAAAAAGGACTAGTTGCCTATGCTGTCCACGGATCGACTGACAAGCATATGACCATTTCGTGTCAGTTTCATTATAAAAATGCTGGTTCAACTTCGTTTTCAGAACGACTTCGACAAGCCAATTACCACGACTTCCCCATACATTCCCAGACGTTTCTTGGGCATATTCAGTCCCAAATTCAAATCCTCATAGGAATCCAAGATAATATTGATGTTGTAGTACCTTCAATTCTGTTTGAATAAACGAGTGGAAGGGATTCATAGGCTGGTCTCACAGGAAATAGAAAGAGGGATGCCTTGGAACTGTGACTGTAAAGTAACGCGAATAGGTCCTTGGTTCCTCGTGCCCCGACCCAAAATAATATTTACTGAGCTTTCGTCTATAGTGTGACAGACAGCGTCAGAACAGGGTACTGGGCTTGACGATAATTCACCAAGCACAAAGACAAGAAAGGTGGCCGGTATCATTTAAATCTTCCAACTATGAAATTAATTAACAAATTTCACACTATGCGATCCAGGATTGAGGAAGTTTGCTGCTCGGAACCTTAAACAGTATAATCTAAGATATGTAGAAGAGATTTGAGAAGAATCAATTTCTTGTCATTGTGCTTGGTTAATTATCGTAATGTATGCTGCCCTGCTTTGACGATGTCCGTCACATCACAGAAGAAAGCTTATCAACGATTCATCGAGGTTGCCGGAGCCAAGGACTGATTCGAACAAATCTAAGGTCACAGCCCCAAGGCAACACTCCGTCAACTTACGGTGAGGCCAACTTGTGATTCTCTCCCACCCGCCTCTTCAACCGGAATAAAAAGTATTCCATCATCAATCCCTTAGAGGATTCTTCGAAAACCAATTTTCCTACATATATTGAGTTTTTCCAGTTGATCTTCCAATTAGGAAGTGTGTCAAGTGTCGTGAAAATACCTTCTCCAATATCTACATGACTTAAAATAGTGATCCTCAAAGAACCATAATCTCACAACTGAAGTTCAACTAGCTTTCCAGCACAAGTTTCAGGCCTAAATAAAAATATGCTTTTACTTCTAACGAAACTCACTAGTAGATTGCACCTAGCCACATTTCTTGGATTAGGGGTTGGAAAAATTTTTCATTTATGCTGGTTTCTGCATCTGAGGATACTTTTTGCTTATAGGCAGGCAGGGAGTCAGCAAGCCTTCGTCGGTGATCCGAGGACTCCGTCACGCAATCCGCTAGTCACATTTACAAGGCTCCCAATGAGGACGATTTACGAATCCCTTCCATGCGAATTCTTACGCGACTGATAGAAATACCCTAAAAGACGAAATATTAGGCTGAACTCGTCTTTCATTTCAGGTTTTCGGGGAATAATTATTATGTGCAAAAATTGTCCTGACCCGCGCTTGCAACCCTATGACTAAAAGCATCCTTATTCTTTTGGTTCACTAAAAGGCCCTTTTTCGTAAGAGTTTTAGTTGGAACCCGCCTAGCTGAACCATCAGCATCCTCAGCGTAACTCGAACCGTGAAGCAAGAGAGTTCAGAGGCAAGCATGTTAACCATAACTCCCCATTATTCTTGTCAGCCTTGGTAAGAAAATTGTATGCGGAGAGAAATTTGGTTTAAATGATTCCGCTGAGGCAAAATTGTTGTTGGGGCTTCCATTTCATATGAAAGTTCATTCTTAGGTCAATCCCACCAGAAAAGAAAAGTGATTCCCGTGGTTCTATAGCCGTTCGAATTTTGTAGAACGATTAGGTTGGCCAACTCAATGAGCAGCACTTTCGTTGATCAGATGACAAATATAGTCAGGGCTGGAACTCATTTATGTAAAGGCTTCAAGTTGACACTAAGTCACTAAGACTAGGTAGGTCTCCCTTAATGCTAAATATACTCACAAATAAAACCGAAAATAAATGGATAGAGATAGAGATATAATGAGTTGGTTAATACATTTCATATTAATCAGTCTATGTCTGTTAATAATTTCAAGACAAGAGGCTTTTGAAATTAATAGATTCGAGAATACATTGAATTTGTGTTAAGTGTGAACTACTTATGCTTGATTGATAGATTGAACGAGAGATAGGGTATCGATCCACTGACCAAAATGAGGCGACTCAACTTTTCAGTATAATGATGATTTTAACCAAATTCACATTCGGCCAACTATTCTATAAAGCTCATCAATCCAACCAGACGTTCGAGATTATGCAATCCAAGTCATACTTTTTCTTAGGTCAGTTAACTTTGATGACCTAGGGCTAATAAATTTTGGCTGGTGGTTACACAACATGACTTATACACATACAGGCTTACATCTCATCGTATTAATTAGACGTAATTTCGGCTTACGCAACTTCGGTCATTTATTTTGTTTATTACACTTTGATGATTCGGGAGGAAAGTTGAACCCCATTGTAACTACTCTGAGTCAAGACCAGTATTGTGTACACATGTACAAGTTTTAACACATGCACATATGCACTAAAGTATAAGTACAACTAATAACATGACAAAAATAAACAGATAATTTTGCATCTATCTATCTCTACATATTCTCATTTTTAGCTGTGTTTATACACAATGTAAGGTAGAACAGAGTAGTCCACCTGATTTAGTGTTAACTTAAAGCTCTTGTAAGAGCTTGCTCCAGCTCTGTTGATGTTACTTATTCGAAATAAGAAAACCTATTCCATTTTCCCCTAAAATGAGGGAGGATTTATCATAAACTAAGTCAATTGAGGCAAATGAAAGTCCTATCGAAGGTGTAGAAAATTGTGAATTAACTTTCATTTTCTGGTAAGAACGATCCACGAATCTTTTCATTATTAATTTCCATACGAAGTGAAAGTTAAGAGAGACTATTGAAATTAATAGATTAAGGAATGGGCTGAATGTCAGGAATGGTGATAGGAAGTTAAGTGATAACTACTTATGCTTGATTGAAAGATTGAAGAAGAGAGGGTGTTGAGCTGCCGTCCAAAAGAAGACGACTCAACCTGTCATCCCAGTGATGGTTCTAACCTCATTCACACTCGTCTAACAGTTAGATTGAGCTCATCAACTAAACCAGACGAATTAAATTACGAGATCCCAGTCATGCCTTTCCTTGTGTCGTTTAACCTAAATGACCCGAGACTGAGGGGTTATGACGGGTGGTTTGGCAACCTGACTTACACGCATACTACCATACGTCCCATTATCTCAACCTGAGTAGCTTACGAACTTACGCAATATCAGTCAGTCTTTTTCTTAGGTCATTAGGCCTTGATGACCCGACAGTAAAATTAGGCTTTTGCAATCACTCTGAGTTAATACTGGTATTACGTACAAACTTTAACAAACGCACACACAAGTAAAAGTATGGTGGTGATATGAAAGAGAACTAGCCAAATCATTTTATTTATATCAATATATGTCTATATATTTTCGTCTTTCATTTATAAGTATGTATAAAACGTGAGATAGAGCCGAATTTAATGTTAACTTTACAAGAGTGAGCTTCAGCTCCAGTTATGTCCATCATATAATGGACGAAAGCTTGGCCCGGTTTCACCAGAAACGAGGGAAAATTCCTCGTGGAGTGTCAAATTGAACGTCTTATCAGATTGATAAAATCATTTGCGACGCAGTAGAAACTGCACTCCAGTGAAATCCAATTATTTTTTTGTTATTTGAATAGGCTTTGAGACTACCTGTAGATCTTACTTAAGAACTGCATTCACCATATTTCATTTAAGTTAATGAAGGACTGGTGGTCGAAGTTTCCCACAATAAAAAAAAAGGCCTCATATTTATATTGAAGTTTACAATGCCTTGCTTCCCAACAGGTACTCTAATTTA